AGTGTCTCGACAAATTCGAGAATAAACTATTTATTAATTTATTATTAATTATTTTTCAGTTGACCCAAGAAGCATTAGCCTACCTGTATCCCAAATAACCCTCGCATTGGGAGTTTTGTTGTGCTATAGGCGGTAAAGGGGTCAAGTGCCAGTTGCAGTTCAAGTTCGGGTGGGGCAGAAACAATAGGAGATTCCGTGAGTGTTCTAACTTGCGTGGACCGTTGAGCCAGGAATTAGGAAGTGCACCGAGTTATTGATGGACGTAAAACGGAACACCCGTATCGCACCCTGGCCAACCAGTTACTGCCCACGCTTCCTCTCCTAGCACTCCCTGCTGTGGCAGTCACGTGAAGTAAGGAAAAAATAGGAAGAGAAATCGAAGGTATAGAAAAAGAAGTTAACCTGTAATAACAAAATAATACCAAGGCATAAAGCAAAGTAGAGAAGACAAGCCAAGTATGGTGTTGCGCGTCAGTCAGAAAAGGGGAAAGGTTTCGTATTGCCCCTCAAGAGCGTCAATTTGCCGCCCAAGCTCCGTAACCGTAGGTTCCCTGATAACACTTTCCGGAAGCATGTTCCAATGATCGTTGACACGGCGTGACGGCCAAATTTCCGCCCTAATCCGGTCGGACGGCGGTTCGGCCAGAACGACTGGAAACTCCCGTGAATGTACCTTCATTTGCGTTCGCTGGATCGGGAATCGAAAGAGCTACTTGCCACGTTAAAATCCTAAAACAAAGCTTGCACCACGCACCGGCCAACCAATTACTGCCCACATATTCTTGCCCGGTAGAGTCTGCTAGGTCTCTTCATGTGAAGTAAGAAAGCGAAGGGTAAGCTAGGAAAAAAGAGATGCCAGCTAAATAGTGATAATACCAAAGGGCGTGAAGAAAATAAAATCGTGCGGAAAGCAGTGTACAATACGGTTAGGAGAAGGAGCAGCTTCGGTTTTACCACCCAAGAGCATATAATTGATGCTTGAGAGCCACGACCGTGGACATCCTAACGACGCGAGTTCCATCGTTCCGTAACTCTGGGAGGGAAGCGTGTTTCCGTTCTTAACCGGACATAACCCAGTTTGTGCAGCCTAAATGGGTGACCACAGAGACTATTTAGGTGTGATCTCTTCGTTGGCAGTGGACTGGACGGTTAAGGTACCTACATGCTTTAGCAGGCAGATAAAACTGCCGAAGCTCTGTCGGCAGTGATCAGCACTGCCTCCGTTCTACTTACAGTTGTAATGGTGTATAGAAGCCCTAGGATTGCGTCCAAAGAGGTGCTTTATTTTATTTGCTCCCAATCTGCAAACATGTGTTTCTTACTGGAGCACTTCAATCCACCGAAAGTTTGCTGAGCAGGTCTTGCTTACAACTCGGCGGAAGGTACATTCGGTGCAGATGTTATTGAGCTTACGCTGCAAGTACCGTTGCATCAGTTCGTGGACCGCCCCACTAGGTACATGGATGCTCAAGTACCGTCTATTTCGGACCTAGTTTTGCCCAGTCACCAGACTTGGTAGATGACATCACTTACAACCTTCCCTAAGGTGCTAGTGATTACGTCTACTAATCATTGAGGTGTACTCTGACCAGGCGTCCCCAGAGCATCGTTAACCCACATCCAAACATTGGCGTGATGACTATCAGACAATGCGTATCAACGCCTCTGGGTTGCGTTGCGAAGTCTCGGTGGTTAATACGGTTCAGGCAGCCTGGGATTAGTTTAAGTCTTATCACACGAAAGTGTCTACTCCCTACATCCCGCTTGCGAGGAGTCTGGAGACATGAGCGCGGCCGCCGTGGACAGATACCACTGGCAAGTGCCTGCTCCAGAAGCGTCCTAGGTGCTGGATGACCTATCGTACGGCTCCGTCAATTCGCACCTATGATAGGCACCGCGAGGCTAGCAATAGGTGTAACCAAGACTTAAGGAAAGCTCGGCTGTTGTACGAAACTTGTTTGGCTGATGGAGCTTCGGAAAATTAGGGGACGTTCTTCGCTTAGGCTAATAGACGCTGTGGTCCAAATTCGGTAATTCCAAAGTTGACGCGGGCTGATGGAACTCAGGCGTATGCGGACTCAGATAAAGTAGGGACTTTTGTAGGTGAGGCTGCGTTGAATAGCGTTGAACTTGTCCCCAGAGTACCTAAGGGTGCTTGTTTAGCTGGGTTCACTTTGGTGGAAACGCAAGTCCTTATGCTGCTGCAAGAACTGAACCCTTCAAAAGCAGCCGGACCTGCTACCATTCACCCGTAGCTTCTGCGTGTGTCGGCATTGGAACTAAGTGAACTGCTGACGATGGCGTATCAGAAGTCCCTTGACAGCTGTACATTACCTTCTGAACGGTAGGAGGCTATCAGCCAAATGTAGGCCCGTCAGCCTGACTAGCGTCGCAGGCACACCGCTTGAAATGAAGGTGAGAGATTCGTTGGTAGGTCAGCTTAATAGGAATTATCTACACAGTAGTGTACAAGACGGATGCCGGAAACGGCCATCGTGTCTGACGAATTTGTTGATTGCTCGCAAATTTTGGACAAGGCAGTGGACAATGGCCACGTAGTACATGTACTTGTCGTAGGATTCTCAAAAGAATTTGATAAAGTACGCCACTTGAGGCTTTCACAAATGCTGAGCTTCTAAGGCGTATCTGGCCGCGCTCTGCACTGGGTATCTGCAAGATTGCACGGAAGCGATCAGTGTGAATGTGTGGGTCGCAGCTTGTCATTAAGGCAAGCGGTCCTTAGTCCTGTCCCACAGGGTTTGTTCCTTGGACCAACTTTTGTCTCCTCCTACGTAAACGATCTCCCTGGAGAGCTTGGGGTCCCATCCCTATTGTTTGCTGCTGATGACCTTAAGCTATGGAATGCTTTATATGTTCCTTGGGGTGCTGAGGTCATACAGCATGCACTGGACAGACTCTGGGTCTTGTCTAATTTGTGGCTACTGCCCAGTAATTGGGCTAAGTGTGACGTCCTCCGTATAGCAGCAACATTTTCGCTTTCGAGGTACATGCTTGGTGGGGTCGGACCCCTCTTTTTGCAACAGGTTGACCTAGAACTCCTTCATTCCTCCTCTTTGCAGTCTGGTGTCAACTGCAAGAATGCAGCATGCGGTGTTTTCATAATGTTATGGTTAATACGCCGTGCATGCCTTGTCCTAACTGCAGTGCGGTAG